GGATCGCTTGAGCCCAGGAGTTTGAGGTTGCTGTGAGCTAGGGTGACGCCACGGCACTCACTCTAGCCCGGGCAAAAGAATGAGACTCTGTCTCAAAAAAAAAATAAATAAATAAATAAGGTTGAGTTTTAAGGATAGCGAGATGAATACTTGAAAAAAATTAAGGCTATGTGGAAAGCAAGTATATGATTTAAAAAGAAAAGCAGTAACTTCAGTAAAAACTAAAGGTTGTACAAGAAAGAAAATGCAATTATAGAACACAAGTTGGTTTTTCATTGAGTGATATTTACATTGTCAATATTATGTAAGCACTTATTTTTTATTTAATAAAAACAGTAACTTAATTATATGGGGAGGATGCAGGGAAAGAAATAGAAAACAGTTGAAGAGCTTAATCTTCATTTTCCATAACAGAAAGTCAACAGAAAATATCTAATGATAAATTGAAATATACCAGTTAAAACTAGAAGAAAATGTTGAAAGAGTTCAAAATAATTAATTCTGAGGAGGGAACACAGGGATGATTTTTCACTATTAATCTTTCAGTACAATGTGACTTGTTTATAAGTGTACAAACATCTTTGGTTTGAAAATACCTAAGATTCAAGGATATGCCCAAGGCATTTGTGACTTCTTCATTACTTTAATACTTTGAAAGAACTCCTTAGTAATGAAAATGAATATAGATATATATCATAGCATTTTTATAATGAAGAAAATCTGTTACAGTACATATAATGAAATATAAACTTAAATCATGTTTATAAATAGTTAATGACAGAGAGATGTTTCTTACATATCGGGTGGGAAAAAAGCGCAAGAGATTACTACAGTCTGATCCCAAGTTTATAAAATAAATGAGTGCAACATTTTTTATGTTCTTTCCTATCTAGAAATTTGCTAACATAACCCAATTTTCTCCTATTTTTGTGGGTATCTTTAATCCATATGAATTTCATTTTGGTCCAAGTTGAGAGGTGAACATCTTGCTGTTTTCTTTTACTGCATAATTAACCAGTTGTCCCAGTACTATTTACTAGTACTTCTTCCTTCCTGTGCCAATTTCTGATGTTCACTAATCCCAGTCTGTATAAAAAAGCTTGTCTTAGACTCCTCCATCACTACTCATTTGTAGGAGAACCTGGCCTCCACTAAGCAGTCCTAGGGCCTCCTTTTGGCTATGTTCCTTTCCTCCCCATCACAGCACATTAGACCACAGGTGGCCCATGAACCTTGGGGCCTGACTGAGCCAAGGCTTACTCCAGATTCTATGGAATCTATTGAAAACAGCCATTTATACATACAGAATGAACCCCACCAAAAGACAAGGCTGCCTGAGAACTGAAGCTCAAGGGAGGAAGAGAAGCTGTAAAACACAAGGCTGGGTGCGGTGGCGCATGCCTGTAATCCCAGCACTTTGGGAGGCTGAGGTGGGAGGATCACTTGAGGTCAGGAGTTCAAGACCAGCCTGACCCAAGAGTGAGACCCAATCTCTACAAAAAATAGAAAAATGAGCCCAGCATAGTGGTGCACACCTGTAGTCCCAGCTACTCGGGAGGCTGAGGCAGGAGGATCGCTTGCGCCCACGAGTTTGAGGTTGCAGTGAGCTGTGATGATGCCACTGCACGCCAGCCTGGATGACAGAGTGAGACCATGTCTCAAAAAAAAAAAAAAAAAAAAAAAGACAAGCATTACCAGGTCTGAGTTTCCTGGTTCAGTCCCTGGGGGGTACCAGAGCCCCAAAATAGGTAAACCAGAAACTGACAGTAGAAAAGGGCACATCCACTACCCAGTAGGAGATTTTAACATATCTCTCTCAGCAGCTGATAGAATAAAAAAGAAACAAATCAGTAAAAAGCTTATACTATTAAATAACATAAGACATGAGAAAGCCAGATTACCTGTAATATTTTTAGAACATGCTAGAAATAAAGCAATGAGGGTTAATTTTTAAGATTCCCTTCCATAACAGAAAAAGCACAACAAGTAATTTCCACAACAGAAAATTACTTGATTCTAGATTGCAGTTATCTGAGAAAAGACCAGTGGGATCCAGGTGTGACAGGAGATGATGGAGTCCCCAGATACAACAGAATCCAGTTTTCTCCATAGCATGACATCTAAAACAATTATCTTCTATCAACACCTTAAAGAGTCAGGCCTCAAAGCTGCTAGACCATCCATGTACCCTGGTAGATAGTAGCCAAGACAAGTTCTGCTGCTATACATCACAAAAATGCTATTAACACTCACATTAACTTAGATTTCCAAAGGAAATTTAAACTTTCAAAAGAATCTAGATTGAGCTCCGATATGAGTTACGTTCTCTTCTGCATGTATATTATGCTATAGTTTCAAAAATTAAAGTATATTACTAAGATACATAGATTCAAGCAGGTCTATAAATCCCAAGCATGATATTCTAAATTAAAATAAAGAAAACTTGGGATAGAAATTGGGGGTAGTGTGAGGAGGCTCCATCTTACAGAGAAATAAAAGCACTTGCTTCACAGGGTATGTTTAGCCTGCTCCATGCCAGGAGTCACCTCTTCTCCACATCCCTGCCCTTCTCCAACAAGGACACCCACCACTCGCCATCTCACTCC